TTATGCAAAGCTTGCAAATCATGCAGTTTTTCCTCATCATATTCAAACCATGATTACGCCCTCAACCATTTACTAGAAAATTCTCTCTTTTTCATATCAGACAGCTTAACTTCACTGATGCCCGTCAGTGAGGAACAGTCTGCTGCTTACAAGCGTGAATAATCATTTGTTTCTATCGTATTTGCAGCTACATAGGACATCACTGATGGCCTATCGGCCAAATTGTTGTGTTTCACCTGCATCGACTTCTTGTCTAGGCTGGGAGCCTTGAAAAAACAAAAAGTATCAAGCATGATTTGCTCCCCGATTTTTTCATGTTGGCCATGCTGCACATACAAGAAAGTATAATATATATATGGCTTTATTTCCGCTTCCGATGTGAACAATCAATAAAATTAGCCAATAAGCATCAGCTAATAGGGGCACTTTACATTTTGGGGACGGGTTAAATGAACTTCACAAACTGTGGATTTTGAATCAGCTCAAAACTGACACGCTGTATGACCCACATACTAGATTTTTTATGCGCCTTCCATAATTTTTATGCGCCAATGGTGCAAGGGCACGTCCTTGGCAGAACACTGTAGTGTGATGAAACCATGTGCCCTAAGGATCACAAGGCGGCATGTGTGAAAGGTCAGGGGCGATATACAAACAGGAGAGCACAGTCCTGGGTTACAGCTGCTTCTGCAGCGCAACAATGAAAAATTAAATACGCAGTAAATGCACACATTTAACGAACTGTAAACATGTAAAAGTCAAGGTGTTCAGCGGTCATTCCCTACCCTTCCAATGCAAGAATTTTCTGGTAAAAACTACAAACCAATTTTAAACACATTTGCACACAAACCATAAACTGACAAAATATTTATTTCTTAAAGTGGGAGGAATAAATCTGAGAAATCTATTTGAGAAGCCAAAGGCTAACAATCAGCATTAAATAAAGCGACGAATCTGTACACACTTTCAGCACTGCATGATTGAAGTATTTCTGGTTAAAATGCAACAACTTAAGGTCGATGCAGCTACATCGCAAGAGGCATCTCTCCCTCTCTCCAAGAATATCGACGCACAAACAGATGACTGAGCATTTAAATGTACAACCCAGGTAACTTAAGAGCTCAGAACCATGTCATTGGTGAACCTCTGTCTGTGACAGATTAAGTGTTCACTAACTTGCTAAAATGATAAAATGTGGGAGTGGGGACCGAATGATCTATGCCATCTTCAATGCATCAATGCAGAAGCAGACAGATGTAGAAAGCAGGTCTTTTAAGCATTAGAAGAATGAGATGCCAGGGCTTGCCAGTCTACCCGAGTGCTAGTAACCAATTATTACATTGGGTTAATAAATTCAGCCCCGAGGTGGAATGGTGGTGTAAGGGCTGAAAAGCCAGCATACCATGGCTCCAAAGAACTAAGGAATGATCGAGGCAAGCGCTACCCTTCTGTGGACCACACAGCATCAGAGCAGATGCCAGGAAGGATGACATGGAAAAGCAACATGGCTGGCCCTTAACTGAGCTGGGAGCATCCAACGCTCCAGCGTAACTGGCTGCTTAAAAGCCTATCTGTGTGTGACCATAGCAACAAGCTCTGTTTACACTACTGAATGGGCCTAGGGGCAAATAAATGAATCAATGGAAACACAGGACTCTTTCGGACTTCTTACTAAACAAACCCAAGCTTGGTTATGTCAATACATAACCTTTATTACTCAGTTAAGACATTCCTTGCAGTGACAAGTCTAGTTGTGCCTTGGGATTGGCCGAGAGATCTGCCCATCATTTACCTAACAAATCATGGGAGAAATTACATACGTTTGATGCCGTAGAATAGCAAATGATTAAAAACTCAGTTTTAGAAAATGACACGTAAAAAAACTATACACAGACACTTATTTTCCAAAAAGAACAATTTGGTAATTGTCACAGATTACATAACTGCAGAAGAGCAGCATTTTACAGTAAGATTACCTATTCCAAGGTATTTTATGATACTAATAGTTAAGTATTTAATTGACAAAACATGTACAACATTTTAGCTGGCAAACATCCAAATTTCCATATGCAGAACCAAACAAAGATTCAATAAAAGCAAATACTTACTATGTCTGATGTTTTGCTTGGGTTAGAGTGTGAATTTGAGCTATGAAAAGTACTGTGATTGTGTGAATTTTCTTGAGGAGAATAACTGGTCCCTGGAAGAAGAAGGAAAAAAAAACAGGCATGAAAAAAACATGCTAATAATCAGAATGAGTGAGTCCAACTGACTCAGTTACGCACATCAGTCACGTTAGCAGACAAACATGCATTTTGTTTGGTAAATAAAGCAAAGTAAGCGAGGCCCTCTTCAATGCTGGCATTTTGGTAAACAGCTCTTGCATGTACTAAGCAGAGATCAGCTTCAGTCATGCTTGACTAGAAAGGCCAAGCCGGTCGATATCCAGAAACAAAACACCTGAGTAACACCACTGCTGTGTGTGGTGAAACCCAGCCACACTTAAATCAGACATCTATATTATGTACTGTCAATGCTGGCCCAACAAGCAGCTATAGAAGAGGGGGAGGGGGGGGGTTCACTGCACGTCGAGACCATCCTGAAAGTGAATTACAAAGTCTCGAATACCTTGTTAGTTTTAAATATTTGAAGAGAGACAGAAACCCTTCTCTGGTAACCACGTAATGTAATTTTAAGCAATTACGGGAAAAAAAGCACATTCACACCTGGAGTTCTAAACTCAATTCTGGAAGACTACAGGGTATTCAGGTTTAAGGTCTGGCTGGGCTCTTAATTAGCCTTTTTACTTTGTTTGAGGTGTCAGCTGAATGAATCGCAATATGTATCACTTAAATTAAACATCTTAGTTGAAAAGTCACTTAATATTGCTTTTTAAAGGACTGAAAAATGAACCTGAAGGATACTTTGCTGTGAGAGATGTTCGATATTCTCACCTTCCGCGAAACAAGCACACATAATTTCATGAATGACAGTCATTCTTAGCACTGAAATATTAAATGTCTACTTAACCTTGAAAAAAAATTGGTAATTTGAAACAATTAATGGAGCATAAATTATTATTAATGGCACTACAACAATAACAGTTTTGCAACAAATACAGCAAGTCAAGCAAGACAATCAGTTTAACCATTTATAATTACACAACTATCAGGTAACAGCTCAGTCAAAGCAAAACACTAAAAACTTTGGGGGAGGGGGGGGTATAAAATAATACAGCCGCCTTTGAAGGAGTTCTACCTTCAGTTTATATGCAACAGAGCACACTATAAATAATATAGACCTATTACCACAACAGGCAACCAGGAGGCCAATAAGCCCATTGGGTAGCGACAATGGACACGGCGCAGGTGGTTGTGGAGCCGGGACCCACCTCCCAGGAGGCCGCAAGGCAGCAGCCAGCTGACACCTGCTGCTTGAAACCCACCACCGGGTCACCGACAGAGGGCAACATGCTGTGCCGCCACAGGAAACCAATAACTACAGCAGCTTACAGCAGGACCACGAACATGGAGCATGCAAGCAGCACCTCAGGGCTCAGCGCCAACATGATTTAACATAAAACACTTGGAAGATAATAAAATAAACAGCCTCGGTTGTAAGCACATTACTGAAAAGTACATAACAGCTTCCTTTAAATCATTTAAAAAGATACTGGAGCTATGCTTTTTATGATGGAGTAAACTCCATTGTACTCGAATTGAACAATTTGTAGCAATAATGTTAAAACCATAATAAGAAAAAATTGCCAAACAATAATCACTCTCCCCAAACCAAACCACTGGCACACAGTGGAATTTGCAGCACGCAACCACAGGGAGATCCTCTGAGGATCTAGGCGCTGATTCCCAGCAACGCCAGGCTGTTACCTAGCACAGTTCTTGTCAATCCTGCATTAGCCAGTTACAGAAAACCCAGATATGCTGCTACTGCCCTTAAGCTTGACACTGACAGGACTGTCAAAAGACATGCGGTGTTTTCCCTTAGAGAAACGAAAACCTAAAACAAAACTAAACCGACATGATTTTTCCTGCAGGCCACCTGCTGGGAAAACATGGCCTGTGAACGGTTGGCACCCTGGGGCATCATGCTCAACGGTGACATGATGCCCAAAAGCAGAAGATAAAACGACAGGGTTTATAAAAATAAAAAAAAAAAACAGACAAAAGTCACCCCTTTAATTCTACATTTCATTTCTGTTAAACCCATCCCTACTTACCATGCTTGACATCTACAGCTTTCCTAATGAGACCATTCTTTTCCTGCAGCTGAAATACCGACTTTCTCACTGCGGTTTAAGGTTTAAGAGAATGCCAGTGGAGGACAGCGACTGAAATGTCAGCAGCACCGAAAGTCTCAAGTGTATCCTCCAAGAAACAGTGAGCTTTCCTTCTAATCCATGTCATTCCCTCAACACCTAAGTAGTTAAACAATACCCTGGTGTTCATTCAGGTAAAAAGCACACACTCAGAAAACCAAGCCTACAAAAGGCAAGGATGAAAGAACTGATACATGCCACCCAATTACACTTGTCTCCAATTCAAAACGTTCTAAGGGCCCAACTTTAACATAACCTCCAATTTAATAAATATGCCTGTAATTACTGGACCAAAACGAATGCTAATGGACAGAGATCACCGACAAGCCAAGGGCAGTACACTTTAACCCTACTCTGATAACATGAAGGACAGCGGAATCGTTAAAAAGCACTTCCACTGGATTTATGTGGAACCCCATGGAAGTTGTTTTTACTGCATTAATTACATTTTACATCACTTTTCCCCTAATGCAGCTGGTATGGTTGTGTGTTGGGCAGTTTATTGGTTTGAAAAGATAAAAATAATAAATTGGTTTCAGTAAGAATCAATTATGAACTTGACTACAAGTGACAGTTAGGTGAGACCTGGACTTATGCTGCTGCAACCTGCCAACAGTCTGTCACCTACTAGACAGCACTGATGCTGACACGACTGCCCAAGACCGTCAAGCAGCTGAAAGCTTTCTAAAGCCCACATGCCCACAGACAACTGCAATAAAAAATATTAGGCAGAGTTTGGTCCACATGGGCCAACTCTTGTTTAAAAAGTAACACTCAAGTCTAATTTTCAACCATTTTGAACAGCAAGAGCACGAATATTATTCCCATTAGGGCTTTAGATTGGCAGAGTGCTGCCTGTCGGGAGTGATGCCACCATTACAATAACCATTTAGTGAGGCCCAAAGCAGATGAAATCCTGAAACACTTGTGTCCTGCTGATAATAGCAAGCTCCATTTTGCCTTCAAACCCACTACTCTCCATGGACCCTGTGGGTCAAGATGCCAAACCATCATTTGTGGCTTTAGGCCACCTTAACCTTCCAGCTTGTCACACAGTTTAGAGACTTTTGTGGAGGAAGTGACCATCAAACCCACCTGGCCACATGATTGCCCCCCCCCCAGCCGAATCAGGAGTATGTTGCATCCTTATGGATTATTTACACAGCAGACCTCACCACTGGTACAAGCTGATCGCTTCCATTTACCTATGAGTACTCTTGACTTTTCTAAATGTACAAGTGGCCACCACCCCGAGTCACTCTCCTTAGTTACACTGGGTTTAAAACTTTAGGTGCTGGGTAGGCCAAATCTCATGAGCACGGGCTGATTCTTTGAAATACAGGCAAAGCTAAAAGACCTGGTTCTTTGCCCCTGCTTAGTGATCCTGGCCACACCACTGGTGGAATTAATTTCCAGCAACCTTCAAAACTAATGTATGAATGAGAACACTGAACAGACCCATAATATTAAGTGGGAAAAAAAGGTCCAAGAGCATCCTGCCATCTCAGAATATCCTGCCAAGAATATGACTAAGATAATCAGCTCAAAGATTTAAAAAAAAATCTGTAGGTATACTAGAACATCAAAAAAGTACATTTCAAAACTTCGAAGCTGTGAAGAGCTTTAGGGAGCTGTCACCACAATACCACAGATTTACCCAGGGTTGGGCGAACGATGTGAAGAACACTTGCAAGGTCAGTCAAGGAACAGACAGCGGTGAGCGAAATTTCAAGCTGGGCTTTCAAAATTTGGCTTGGGCAATTCTGCTAGGGACCAGTCTAATGAAGGGTGGGCACACTGACCTCGAGACATAGTCTGGATTCCTACATGACTGGGGACACACTACCCAAAACAATCTTGAGAATATAACACTCTGTGAATCCAGAGCCTAAACAGAACGCTTGGCTTGCAGTCAAGCAATGCAAAGGACTCCAATTTAAAAGGAACACAGAAAAAACCTAATGCTTCAGAGTCAAAAGACATTCCAAACAAAGGCATTTAACATGGTTACATACCACAGACAACTGACATCTTTAGAATGTTAGAGGCCAAAAACATTGCAGTGGTAGACACAAGGAAGAGTCTAATGTGGACCCTGGGTGCTGATCACTGTGAAGGTTCCAGCTTAAGAGGGATCTGACCAATTGTTTCAAGGAACCCAAAGAAATTGTGAATTACTGGATGGCTCAAGCCAGCAAGCACCTGGAATGCTCAAGATTTCAGAAGACGGTGTAACACTGACAGAAGTCAAAGATAAGTAGCCACAAACAATGGTTCAGATGAAGCCAGTGTGTTCAGACAGCACATCCCCGCATTAAAATGAAACCCTTGCGGTTCCATGGAAAAAGGCTCTCAGAGAACATGCAGAGCAAGGTAAACTCCAGAGGTGATACTGAAAACAGCACCAGGAGCTGGGTTGGACTTTTCCTTTTCAACCAAATATAGCTAGAGATGGTCAGAGCTGAGACATTTTCCTTAACAGTATTGCATCATAATCTGCATTTTTACAAGGCATGCACTCCCTTCAGTGAAGCTATGAGGAATACCACTGGATCTTCCTCTACTCAGATCAGTATGAGACAATTACTGAGCACCAATTAAAAACACAAAATGACTCAAGAAAATGTACTGGAGGCTAAAACCACTGATTCTACTGTCCATGACGTGCAAATGTTTTTAACTATACATGTTTTGAAAACCAAAGAAAATAACCATGCCCAACTAATGTGTACATACAAGGTATGCTAATCTAACAGACTAAACCAAGAGACATACAAGGTTCATTAAAAGTAAAGATAACTTTTTCCGCCCATCAATGCCTGTGAGATGTTAACTTTTCCATGAAGCTAGCCAAAGTGGTGTAAAAAATAAGGCAAATGGAAATATCTCCCGAAATGTACAGCAAACCAAAGATTAACTGAATTTAAGTAACCTGATGCTATGTATCCTATACCACACACACAAATAATTCCGTCCTTGGAAAAAAAAAATTCTGCTGTAGTTTTGGGTACAACGAATCTTCAGTGCCTTAGAGAGAGAAGTGTTCTAATAGGAGAAAGACAGATTACAGATTATACCTGTATAACATATATATATACACATGCAAACAAAGCAATAGACTTCCCAATACACAACCATAACAGTTGCATTAAAGAAAATGATGTAAAATGTAATTAATGTAATAAAAAATAATAGTAACTTTCATGGGGTTGGACAGAGGTAAAGCACCAACAGCTGTAGTTTGCTGCAACCTGACTGCTATGCATTTATGCAGGGGGGTTTCGATACTGTTCAGCGTTACCTCCATCTCTCTCTCTGACCCGATGTGACTGGATGGCTTTTGCCCTGTTCTGTGACATGCCGTCACCATGCCGGTTCTCGGGGCTGTCTGACCGGCGAAGCACTTTGCAGGGAGGAGTAGGGTCCGAGTCGCCGCGCATCTTCTCATGGCGGTGATCATTGCCTGGGTGGCTCTTTGATGGGTATTTAAGAGTCTGCAACACATATTTAGAGCCTTCAAGATAGAAATCAGCCACCCAACACTAGCAATTCGAGCTGGGTCACTTTGCCCAGAACTGCTCAGCAGTCAAATTTTAAGTTTTGCGTGTGACATATACAAGGACATAATACACAACTGTATAGCGAATAGGCACGTAATATATGAGCAGCCAATGTAAACTATATACATATTTCCCTGTATGAAAACCTCAACCTTAGCACAGTTATAACATACCACATACTGATATAAAGATTAAGTTTAATGTAATTGTCAATCATAGCGCAGCCTCGACCTGTGGACCGGTCTGGCTTGACATTTAACCCGTTGGGTTAGTTCAGCGCTCCCTGTCGCAGTTTGCATGCATTCCAAATAAATAAAATGAGTAAATAAACTAAGCACAACAATATTACCCAACTAAAGGCTATTTTTCATACACGTATAATAAACTAAAGCACAAAACGCAAAACAAAAGCCGAAAGGTTTTGTTGGTGTGGGTGGTTTATTTATTTATCTTCGTTAGCCTGCGTGCTAACTATCCCCGATGACAGGCCTTCGGCTAGCAGAGTTAGCGGCGGTTTGCGACTAGAAAAAACTAAAAAAATCAAGCTCGACCGTACGAAACGAAACCGAGGTGCCCCAAAACACACCCCGTGAGTCTAAACGCACAGTCAGAGACATTTTAACGTTTGGATACCAGAGAAAAAGCCCGAACTTTTCGTTATATCGGTGTATTTTTTCCGCACCGAGGCCTGTAGGAGCCGCCAAGCCTGCGCCGAGCACCCCCCTCCGTTTTAATTTTATTTCTCGTATATACCTGATAGGACTGGGGATCCCTTCTGTCGTTGCACCTACGAAAACAAAAACAAGAACAAGACAGAAAACACGTTTAGAGACTTTAAAGCGTACGTGTAAGGATCACCCGACGCGGCGTAAAGAAACAACGGCAGTCGAGAATAAAATAAACGAGATGAGCTTTCTTAAGTTGTTACTTTTTCTGATTTTAGATAAAAATGGAAGATTGTCAAAGCGGAAAAGAGGGGGAGGGGGAATCTGAATATAAAACATCTGTTTACCCATCACTGAGTCTCGGTTGTTTCCTTGCATACATTACCATCAATGCCGTGTTAGTGTGTGTGGAGTGGATGTGAAAGATGGGCTACTTATTCGTTTTTTTTGTTGCTGCTTTCGTCTTTTTTCCCTATGGTTTTTCGGAGACCCGATCGCGTCTACGATCAGAGCGGTTTTAAAAGCGTCTCGAGCAGACTGTGCTAGTCGAAGGAGCGCCCTCGATCCATCTCACACCCGCACACACTGAGCCGAGCTCCGATCTGCCGAGGAGTGAAGCTCAGCCCCGCGGCCGCCCCCACCCACAATCACATCCGGGACACCTGCGCGCGACGGCGCTCGAGCCGCTGCATCCGGTTACCGAGAAGGACCTTATCACCATCATCATCATCATTATCATTATCATCATCATTAGCATCATCATCACCACCATTCCTATTCCGACAAACACTCCAGGGCTGGTTGGAAGAGGTCAGTAGTTTTTAGCATTAATAGTGTGAAACACAAAACACCTGCGTGTATAAGAAAAGTTAGGTATAATCATATAGAACTACACATTAATTCTATACACAATGAAACTGAAACACCTGATTTTAGAGCACAATACTTTATTAGTATGGTGTAGGGCCTTCTTTTGAAGCCAAATACAGCAGCAATTTGTCATTGGAATGACAGATACCAGTCCTGCACTGTGGCTGGAGGGATTTTGAGCCATTTTTCTTGCAGTACAGTGGAAAAAGTTTCCTGAATATCTCCTGCAAAACACCCCAAAGTGGCTCAGTAATATTCAGATCTGGTGGCCATGGGAGATGTTTAACTCCGCTTTCATGTTCATCAAAGCACTTTTTCTCCAATCTTGCGGTGAGTGTTGGTGCAAAAAAGAGTGTTGGTGACAAAAGCCCTTCCCCCTTATTTATTATATTTATGACACCCTTGCATATACCCCCCAATGTCTCATGTACCTATACATTGTATATACTGTGTTTCTTATTCTTATATCTTGTACTGACACTTTCTTGCATCTTTGTGGTATTGCTAGCTAATTTCGTTGTCCAGGCAACTGTACAATGACAATAAAAAGTCTTGAAGTCTTGAAGTCATTATCACCCTGATACACAGCACCACTTTCGGGGTACAATGCTTGAACCATTGGCTGAACATGGTCCCCCAGAATGGATTGGTGGTCTTTGGCAGTGATACGCCCTTTTAGAACAAGTAGTGGGCCTAGGAGATGCCATAATATAGCAGCCCTAGCCATCACTGATTCACCCCCGTCCTACACTCTGGGTACACAACAGTCTGGGTAGTAACCCTCTTTGGGGCTTCTCCACATTGTAACTCTCCCAGATGTGGGTAAGGCAGTGAAGGTGGACTCAGCAGAGAACAATACATGTTTCACATGGTCCACAGCCCAAGATTTGCTCTGCTGGCACCATAAAATCGATGTTTAACAATAGCATGAGTGACCAAAGGTTTGGCTATAGCAGCCTGACCATGAACATTGACCCTGTGGAGCTCCCAATGAACAGTTTTGGTGGAAACAGGAATGTTAAGGTGTGTATTTAATTCTGTAGTGAGTTGGGTGGCTGTTTTTTATGTTTTTTGGATATAATCCAGGTTAGTACCCAGACGTCCCTTTCAGACAGCTTCTTCTTGCATTCAGTTACTCCTGTTGGATGTGGCCCGTGCAGATTGGCCACCAGGCCACGCATATATAAGCGTGAACCTCAAACACTTTATTGGCCATTGTATCAGTTTCATTGTCCAACTCCTGTATATATAATATGTATGTATGTATGTGTGTGTGTGTGTGTTATTAATGTCTTATATACAGTGACATTAAATATTAAACACCAATTCACACTTCAATTTATTCAGATACTAATTCACTCATTCACACTTTTGCCATTATTATGTTTATTTTGCTATTGAAAATATTTACAGTAGCTAACTGGCTATACACAAACTACTCATTTATTTAGTAAACACGACGCAGGGAGAACCATCAATTATAAGAACAGTCTTGAGTTATTTTCATGGGATGTTTCTGCGAATATTTAAAATGTGCTTTGAACCATTTTTAAGGAATGATTTTTTTTGTTATTGTGATACGTACATCGCAGGAACATGATGCGCATTCTCATGCTAAAGTAACCGTAGTAAACTATTACGCCATCTTGTGGACATTCGGAATCATTTAAATTTTTCGTGCAACTAGTGAAATGTGAGACGACACCAAGTCAGTACTGAACCTTTTGAAGTGTTTAAAATAATGGCGTAAGTGAGATGCATCCCTTTTTAATTATTTATAGTGGATAATATTTCGCTTCCAGAGTGTTCTTTTCTTCAAGCACAATTTTTATTCATGCTTTCAGATGTCTCATATCTCTGTGCGTTTTATTTTATTGTCTGCCGTATTTGCTTGTCCCTTAGGTAACGCCGCAGTGAAAGTCGTTTTACAGAGGGACTTTGCGAGTTTCGCAGGGTTTAAAACATCTGTCTGCGATGGTGGTGCTTGAGCAAGACACTGAACCCCAAATTGTTCCCGGTGAGCTGGTTGGCACCTTGCATAGCAGCCTCCGCCACCGGTGTGTGAATGTGTGGTGTGAATGGGTGAATGTGAGGCGTACATTGTAAAGCGCTTTGGTAAAAAGCGCTATATAAATGCAGTCCATTTACCATTTACCTTGTTCCGAATGCTGATTAGTTAATGACATTGTCGAAAGTAGCTATGTACCGTGATGCCCCAACTAAATATCATTCCATAGCGAAATGTGAAAAAACACAAGGCAATACAACACATGCGATTGCATAGCACTCCTCTGCAAATTAATTAATCACGTAAATCGACATTTTAAACTCAATAGCAGGTGCATGATGTAGCTGAAGACTCATTGCATTGTCTGATCTGCCTGTTTATGTTCAAAAGGAGACCGAAACTTTTTATCACCTAGAAATTGCTTTGACGTCAAATGTAAACGTAGTCAAATCGCATCAAGTGTACTGAGCGTCTGAGTTAGGATAACAGAAGGAAAGCAGAAACGGTGACGCATTACGCGACTTTATATTTTTGACGCCAGGGGGCGTTGTATTATCGTGTTGTAGATTTCTTCAGGAATAATAATTTTACATTTCGTTTAAACAACTAGACCGAGGAAATGTTATTTAGAACAATGTTATTAATTATGTGCAAGCATATATATATATATAAATCTGTATGTAAAACTAAAAGAAGTAGGCCTATTGGGAATGAGGGTATTATTATTCTCTATTGGACTATTATGAAATGCATCCGTAAATAGGATACATAAAATTGCTTTCTGGCAAGATCTGGTAAGTATATGTCTGCTGAAGTAATAAAAATATTTTTCTTCAATAACTGGAAATGATTCTTAAATGCTGATGTTGAGTAAATACATGAGTAGAAACTAAAAAATGTTTATTTTAGCCCAAGGATAGATGGTTTGGCAAATTGTTGTCTCCAAATTGCCCATAGTTTGCAGTTATGTGTAAGTTTGTGTGTGTCCTATGATGGACAGGCATCCCATCCAAGGTTGTCGTCTGCCTTGTGCCCTATGCTGCCTGATATAGGCTGCAAGGCCCCCATTCACAGGCCTGCATCAATGATGATACAGTGATGACTGTAGCGATAATTTGTTCACATAGTTATAAATATAAAAGCATACCTTTCTTATTACGAGGTGATGAGAGTTCATGTGATATTGTACAGGCACTATGAATTTCAACAAAACTGATAAATTTAGTCATTTAGACAAACATAATTTTGTGTTTATTTTACCTTTAAAAACTATACCTTCTCTAAATTATCTGTGGCTGGATGATCATAGGCAAAGTACTATGCAAATTCAGTGTGGTTTGAGGTTTGATTGTAACTATTTATACTTAGGGATATTGCAAAAAGAATAAAATGAAATAAAGTAAGCTATGTTTTTATCATAAGCTTTAAACGTATTGTTAAGTAAGTTAATGCTGATTTTACATTACTGAGATACCGAGGTACTGGAAGATCGGTCGCTGCCAAACCGAGAACGCCGCTGCATGACCTGAATTGGGAATAGACACCGCCCCATGGCTGAGTATGAGCCAATTAGACGCGGGCTTTTATTTCTTACTTCCGGTAGGCTAATCCGTTGAATGAGTGCCTCGCGCTCCGGAGCGTCCCCCTTTTAGAAAGGATATCGTTGGGAAAACAAGGATGCGGTCCGGTGGCCAGCGTGGATTCACAAGGCGGAAGATCTCAGTTCACTCGCCTGGGAAATAGGCTAGTTTATGAGTAGACCGTGGTAGCCTTGTATTCGAAAAAGTAAACTTTCCAGGGGAAGAGTACAAAGGGAAGTGATTAGTGAACTACCGAGCTGACTATCTGCAGCCCCGTAGAGTAAGTACAGCCGTAGCCGTAATAGTAACACTAACTAGTCATTCTGGTGTCTTACTACGCACGCACTTGAGTCAAGCACCAGTTAACTTTTTTTTTCTTCACTCTTAGTTTATTTCCCGTAATAGTTTGAACTCGGTTTCTCGGAATTGTGCGCTAACGTGTAGATGTTGCCCTGAGCAATAAGCGTGGGTCCTTTGGGACAGCAGCTGTCTCCCTGTTTGGAATCGGGCTGACGTGCAGCCTGACACTGACAGCGCCGCTTTAAAAAAAAAAAAAAACAAACAAACAAAAAAACGCATAAAGTAGCTTGGGTTTGTGATTTATACTATTTAATCCCTGCCGGGGAAGCCACGGCAAGACACGGCACGCATCTGAGCTGTATACATCCGATGGCAAAACCCCTCAGTTTCTCTATAACGAATTTTGGGCAGCTAACGCAGTTCATTAATTGTTTTTAGTTACTAAATTGCAGCAGGTCTCTTGTCAACGTGAAATCAGCCGTGAAATGAACTTGATGTCAGTTTAGGTTACTTGTGATCTACTGCTTTTGAGGCGGTATTAGGAGCAGGATCTCGTCATCTTTCCAAAGCAGCCTACGCTGCCTTTGTGGTTTTAACTGAAGGAGGTTGTCAGGTGTTGGTACTTAACTGCCGATTTCACCTGCTTTCTACACGCCTGTTATGCAAGTACCAGCGGGAGTCTAAAATATAGTTAAAGGCGAAATGTTTAAGGGCTGCTAATGCTCGATATATAAACTTAAATGCACTCATTTGCTTAATGTGCAGTTATTTTATCCTCGATTGTTTTCTGGTATAGAGCTAGCAACATTATTTAAACCGTAAACACTTCCGCGACGCGCATGTGGTTTGACGAGTTTAACAACTTTTGTAAGTAGATTTTTCAAGTAGGTGAAAGGATTTTTCTGTTTTCTTCCCTCCCCCTCTTTCTGCGACGGGGAGGACTGGGACTGGATACGAACTATTAGGACCAGCTCCTCACCTCAAAGTCGATGCTTAACCTTATAACTGACCAAAAAGGGACACTTTGATTGGGGTATAGACAATAACGACGGCAATGCATCATGACACCAGCCATCCTGTTGACTAAAATAGCAGACTGTGAGTTGGTGATGGATAAATCCCCAGTGTTCTCCCACCGTGAATCTGTAACAGCCCTGGTCGCCTTTGGTGCAGGGGTCTTGCTTTTAAGAAGGACTTTGTCCTTGATTTTCCAGAGTCGTCTACGGTGTCACCACCATTGGAGAAGAGATGTAGTGACCCCTTGCTGGAGTTGGTGACACTGCCCAGAGATCCCATTAGGGGAAATGGCAGCATTTGGTGTTAAGTTTATGCCCGTCCCGGTCTCACCCTGGCCCTGCCCATCTCCACGGAAAGTAGGAGACCTGTTTTGACGCCTGATATTTCCACTACATCAGACCTCGGGACTGCTTTGCTTGTGATCACTCGGCAGTCTCTCGTGTTGTTTCAGGGACGCTGGCCGAGATGGCAGATTTTTCCGGAGCAAAGCCGGTAATCTCCTAGCCGTCTTTTTGCGGGCCTGGCCTTCAGCTATGTAACATCTTGATGAGTGTGGCGCAACTGAGTGAAAAACGAGGATCACTTGACTTTTTAAGATGATCGGGTTTGGTTTCGCAACCCGGGTAGGCGATCAAAGTGCCCCCTCCGCCCCACGTGTCTCCCCCAGGTCCAGTGTGATAAATGTACACATCACTGTGATTGTAGCTAGTAATATTCAGGGTATTCATGGTGAGCAAATGCCGAGAACATAAGACGATTAATCGAAAGAAACTGTAATTAAGATCTTTTACGACACCCTATGCAATGTTACCTCTGTTTCCAGGCGCATTCAAAGCGTTTTTTTCTGATTGCGAAAGACCGTCTTCCATGCCGGGTGGGTTCTCTTCTGGCCGCTGTTGTGGTGCCACTTTACTGCTTTTTCACACTGTTTAGCAAAAGGCATATTTAGGCTACTTAACTTTTNTGATGTGGCACTGGCCTCTCCGAATCTGTGCCGTCCTGCTGGGTGTCGAGACAGTGCGGTATTGTTGGTCCGTCGGGTCAGGGTGACCTATGCCCCCCCCCTCTCCGATACCCTTTGGAGTTACTGAGCCTGGGCTGGGACCTGACATCCGCCCCCCATGCTTCTGAGGCTGCAGTATGGTCAAGTGAGGGATCTTTCAGACTGACCAAAAAAGGCAGAATTAAGGGTAGGTGCCAGTAGCCTGTTCCACCAGCCTGTCAATTTTATGTGCAAGAGCTGAATAAGTGACAGGGTGGAGAAAGTGCAGAAAGAGGAAGGACCTTGTGCTGCTCATGAGAAGCCAACAAACTCGGGCGAACCTTGAGACTCAATCAGGGGTCACGGCTGATAGTTAAGCTCAACCATTTGCCTGCAGCTAGCAGTTTAGTCAAAGGTCGAGTGCAGAAAAACTGAACACTAACCTACTGGCTACCAAAATATAGCTTGTTGGGCTACCTTTTAAAAATTATTATATATATATATATATATATATATATATATATATATATATATATATATATATATATATATATATTTTTTTTTTTTTTTTTTTTAACTCTGACGTAGTCCAGTTGACTTAAGTTCCAACCCTATATAGGATGTTTCGAATACCAGAAGTTTGCTGAAGAAAATGCCCGTTAGGTCTCTCCCAAAACTGCTTCCACACAATGTTATGTATTTAATATCATGCTTGAAATTTTTATAGAAAACAAAAGTTTGTTAAACGCCCCACAACCCTGAGTATAAGTGATTGTGATGGAAGAAGATGGAAGAATTTATGGTAAAAAAGAAGTTGTCTTTTTCTTTTTCAAAAAATAAGTTTGAAATTTTGTCCCCAAAATGAGTTTTTCATGCTTGCTGAAGGATTAGTTGTTATGGCTATCCTAAATGTGTGTGTGTGTGTGTGTGTCTGTGTGTGTGTGTGTGTGTGTGTGTGTCTGTGTGTGTGTGTGTGTGTGTGTGTGTGTTTGTTTTAATTTGTTTAAAGCCAGGCAAAGATTTTATGGACTTTTATGTAATGCATTTAAAGGATTGTTCTGTAAGCCAAATATGGCACATGAGCAGACTAACAATCCATTACTGTAATGATGAAACTGGACTTTGGCAACAAGTGACTGTCTGATAAATGCCAGTTAATGCATTTGTTTTGCATGTAATGTTTATTTTCTAAGGTGTAATGTTGTATCCTATCAGTTTTATGTAATTGTGAGCTGTGTTTTATTTTCCCCCCACCTTATGTATTTTCTATATAAATGTGATTTCATGTCACATTTACATTTATATCGCCTCCCGTGCGTACGATCAGCCAATGGCATGCCTGGGAGATGAGCTTCTGACCAGCTGACACGTTGGCCAAAGTCCGTGTCAGAAAAGGAGGAGCCCTTGCATCATACGCTGCTGAATAATTTAGTCTAATGCAGTAACGTGATACTGAGAGTTCTGTGAAGGTCACTACGCAGGTAATCATACACCAGCTGAGTGTCTGCGCACACCTGTGTATTTTGAGCATGAAACGCATCTATACATCTTCCTTAACTGCTTATCTTGTCACGGTGAGGCTAGACCCTACCCCAGGAGCCACGGTGGGGTGGGGTGGGGGGGGGGGGGGGGGGGGATATGATAAATAGGATTGGGGGGGCATCCTCCTTCTCTGTAGGGTCAGTCGGGTTACAGTCATCGTTGAGCCAGCGTATAATCGCCCTCTGTTCAGCGACCAGGACGTCGTCATGTGTTTCTAAGGGGACTCCTTCCTCTGTACTTGTCTTTCAGTGCCTTTCGCACCAGAAACAGTTTTAAATTGTTTTTTCCCTCCCTATTCCAGTCACCCTTTTCAAAAGGGAATCCCCAAATAACAAGATGATGTGTCCAAAACCCCCCATGTCACATGGGATACTAGATTAGACCTAATAAGAGAGTGGATTTTTTCTGAGATTGAATATTTCGGGGGGGTGGTAGTGGGGCAAAGGGACACCTGGTTTGCTGGATGCCGCTGGGGGACTGACTGATGTGCGACTGGCCCTCGCTGTTAACTCGCACCGCTCATATCAAAGCTGACAAGCTAACTGAGGCACGTCTCGTCTTTCTTGAGGTCAGCTTTGAATGATGCGCTTTCCTCGTCAGCGTTGGGTTACTGGGTGGTGGGGCGCTGGAATGAGTCCACACAGCATATGCACGTTATCGGACACTGTCCGGGAGCAACTGATCCCCGGCCTTAAAGATCCCCCTCAGTCCTGTCATACAGGCAGCAGAAAATGCGCGTGCAAAGCACATGGGGCTGGAAAAACATCCTTATGCCGCGCCTGGCCGAACCCATGCAGTCGAGGTAGTAATGTGGAGCGACGCTCGGAAGTGCCGTCTTCTCTGTGTTGTTTAAGCGCAAGAACGGCAACTTGTGGAGGTGGATGCTCCGTGCATATGTAGGATGTCTGCATGTATTTTATGAATGTGCTATATGGCAGAAACTAGTCAATTTTACTTTTAATGGGTGACCAAAAACCCAAAAAAGCACTTTTTCTAAATCATATCATAATGCTTGACTCTAGGCATGGGTGGCAGCTAATGAATGCTATGCAAGAAATACACAGACGTTAGCGCAAGGTCTGTTTGTCTGCTGCTGAACAACAGACTTAAGTTGCATGTGTAACCCTTGATTAAATATTTATGGGACTTTTCCACGGAAGGCCTTGAATTGTAATGACAATTCTATCCATGAATTTATCCATCAATTATTCACCAGTTTTCGTTTGAGGTAAAAATAACCAAACATGTTTCAGCATCTGTCAGCCAGCTGTAAACCAGAAGATACAGCCTATATTGGTTTATTGGTGGTTAATTTTCTGAGTCTGTTTTGTAATTTGTTTTGTCAATGGGATGTGCAGAATGCAATTAACATTGCTGTTAACTTGTCTATTTCGCATTGTTCATAGGAATTTTTAATAACATTTTTTGTGCATTAACTT